GGAGCACGTTGAGTATATCTCATCACTCTCTGATTGGTGGAATGCGGACTCCACTCATAATTGACCAAGATGATGGCCATGATCACTTCCTCCAGAAGGTTCTAAAAGAACCACCTTTCTTGTTCTTCTGCAGCAACGACCAGATCTCTCTTCTACTGGTAACATCGACACCAGCCGTTGGCTCGTCGAGTATCACGAATCGGGAGCCTCCCACCAGCGCAATTCCAATACACAGACGTCGCTTCATTCCACCTGAACATGTCCTTCTGAGATGATTTAACGAACGAACAAAGTAAAACGTTATGAGTAAAACGAGTTTTCTCGGTGTGGTGCAAGAGCTGCCTTCAATATGCCGCGCCTGGGGCATATGTGGCCGTCGCGCGACCTCGTTGGTGCCTTATGTTACGACCGGGGTTGAGGCACATTATTATTTCCAATTTTTTACAAAAAAAGAATAACAGTGAAACCTGATAATGTGCTGGCGAGATCATTCGCTTTTTCTACCAATGACACCGACTGGAGAATGTTGTCGACATCCTAAAATGAGATACTGGGTAAAAAAGCAATGGAAACGTAACCACTGCTATGCTATTCATAACCATGAAAAAGGCCACATTAGACTTACATGCTGGATCTGATTGCTTGGTGTACCCTTGAGAGCAGCAAACAATTGTAGCTGTTCGGATACGGTGAGGCTTAAAAACTTGTTCTTTTCAGGACCTTCGAAGTGAAAAATCTTCAGACACTCACTGTGAAAACAGTACATTGTGCTGTGGGCACACCCCTAGCACATCCCGTACTTGCTGGATTTCTCGTCGGATATCCTTACCGTAAACGGAGGCAGTGCCAGAGGATGGTGAATACAAACCACACAGGATAGACCTGAACCGTGACTTCTCTATATTCGACACTTTTGAATAGAAATCACTGGAATCCAGAAAACCTACATGGTAGTCGTTTTCCCTGCTCCGTTGTGTCCCAAAAGAGCCGTAATTTGATCTTCATAAAGTCTGAGGGTCAGGTTATCGAGCTGTAAAACACCACATCCCATTAATTTGTAAGGCCCTTCTTTCAGGGAGTCTGTATAGAACCCACCGCAATTGTTCCATTACCGTATACCTTTGTCATACCAGAAATAAACACTGTCACTGTGAGGTCTTTGGGTTCAGTTTCAAAATTATCGTTAGCTGAAATCGGCAAATCAAAGGGAATTTTATGGTAATGAACAGCTATAGACAGTACCTGGCGGGGATGAATCAGCTGAGATATTGTACTCCGTACTCTCGACAGATTTAGGAAACCAGTAACGTTTGGTAAGGAAAAAGTACCAAGGTAGCGACACACCATAGATTCCTACAATATACACCATTGTTTCTCATATACTTATTCCAAATTTCAATTTTCCCTTTTCCAAGGAAAGTCTGCAAATTATATCATGGGCCACTGGTAACAGGTCAGAGTTTAAACTTTGGCCCTTAAACCTTTCAGATATTGTTTACGATATAATCACGACTATTTTTCGAATCTGAAGCCGTGTCTCAAAGAGGGAACAGTTCGTGTGAGCTACTTCCGTTAGACCCGTGGACTTCCAACAAGTTGCTTGAAACCAGGTGGATGCTATGTGCATGGCTCACCCCTTACTGTCAACTGATCATCAACAAAAAAACCTTTTCTTCAGTCTAATATTAGAAGACCCTCTAAAAATCGACCCTCTAAGAATTGTAGTAGGATTGGGCACACCATGTGTTTGTATTCCGTCCCCGAATATCGAGGCGATGGCCCTAATATCAAAAAGATGCTAAAATCCGATCTTCCTTCACGTACATGAATGAATTACTGAATTGTACGCTAACTTTATTGCTTGTGAATGGATTACTGCATTCCGTTTTTTCGTATTGACTGTATTTAATGCTGTTGTATGAAAAGTGAAAGAAATATGTTGCACCAGGAATCGAACTCTTAACAACAGTGCCCTGCGCTAAGCACACTCTTTCGAAAATAAATCCACACCTGGAGAAACAGCACTTTTGTACCATGCCAATAAGATGAACGATACTATCTGCAACGCAAACGCCACCATACAATTCACCAAGCTGACATCATAAGCTGAAAAAGTTGGGTTTGTTGGTACTAGTACAAATGGGTAACTTGACCCAAACCAACGAAGTTCCCAACGAACCTTCCAAATAGATACTATCAATGTCTTTCCAAGTTCCTTTCCCGTCATCACTATACATTGCTAGCATAGCCGAACCATAACCAAGTGTAGTCTGGGGGAATATAAGCTGAAATTGTAATTTTAAAGGAAAAATCGATTACTGAAAAATCTGTATTCAAGAAGAAGCCAGCCATTCGGATTCCAAATCCACTAGAGAATTATCAAATTGAGCAGTGATGTGAACAGGGTGGAATCGACCAACGGGCTCCCAAGGGTAAAAGTTCTGATAAATACTATACGTTATCAACGGCAATATACCAAGACATACTTCTACCAACTTGGCCACAAAAACTCGTCCTAAATTAGAAATAGCAAGTTCTACCTACAACTGGCCGGTAATTGCCCGAATGTCCATCTTTGACAAATACCGACCTACTGGCTGGCCTGATACTTTGACTCTCTACCTCACTAATTCGATGATTCCTGGTAGATACAGTAGTACCAAAGCGGTAAGCGAACTGCTATGAAAGATCACTGCGGACTACAGATTTTTTTGGGAAAAGCTGGGAGGGTTTAGAATTAAAAAATCAGTAAGTAGTAACAACACTCACAGTGAACTGCGTGAAAGTCTTGCTCCTCGCTTTTAGACTGATTTGAAAAGGAAAGAAGAACAAGAAATATATGAGGCAGGTAGCTGCAGTTGAAATATTCGCATTGGTGAAGAATGTCGACAAAAGAAGGCATAAAGCGATTGACGACATTGCGAATAGACTCAGAAAGACGAAAATCAACGAGAAATCCACAACTACCAGTAGATTGCCAAACTGTAAAAAAAAAACTCGATAAAAACTGTGAGAAACAAATGAAAAAGGTAAGAAATGAGACAAAAAATGAAAAAGAGAAATGAAGTAAGTATAAATAAAATAAACGATTGGGCAACAGATAAAGCCATCCCTGTGCAAAGGCCCTCCTCTTCCCCCACTCGAAGCACAGATATTGCAACATAACAGAAATTACCGAAAACTCGGCTTAATTAAGTTTCTAAAAGAAACATCCAAACTAATAAATTTCATGAGTTCCAAAAGACGGAAAGGGGTTTCGAAGCTAGTTTTGGGATGAGTGCTATGAAATTTGAAGAACTGAAGCTTTTGCTCGAGATGACTTGAACTTTCCTAGGCTATTTCCAAAAACATTTGTGGGTCCTATGACTTCAAATTGCACCATTCACTCTGCCAGCGTCTTTAGTGAGACTTCAAAGTGAAAGGAATACAGAAATAATGTCTTAAAGTGAAGGATAACATTATTAAGAATAGAAAGAGTAGATGTACCTTGATAATGGCGGCAATGATAGCTGTACTAATGAGATTTAAAACCAATGAGATAACCGCCCACGACCATAAATGTACCATATCGCCCAGACCCATAATACGCATATGCTCCTTAATCAATTGAAACTCGGAAAACAGAAAAAAACACAAAGGCTTGGTTGCTTTCGCCCTTCAAAATTTTCACAGATCGGATACGAATGTCTCAAATCTTTTGGGTCGGAACAAGTATTGTAAGCACATCCGAAAAGGAATAAAGGCTTCTCGATCGTACATTATATTTCTCTAGGTTCTGCCCACTGGTGAATGGTTACCCGTCTATCAGCAGCTTACCGTTGAGAATGGGCAATGAATTCTAAGAACCCCTTCTATCCAGATCAGTGGTTCGCCTGACATTTCCCTACCCGATCTTTCTAGGACTCCGGAATTCCGGGAAATCGCATAGTGAACAACAAGATACCTTCAGACGCAGCTCCTTTTCGTATACAATATTCTTTACAAGTAATGCAGCCGGACAAATGAACGACAATATTGTAAACAGCCCCAAGAATACGACTATATTAAATCTAAAATTGAATTTTTAGAGCTCAACCACCCGAAATTACTTCAACCTTGAAGAGCTTACTTGTCAAAGGCAACACACGGATATGGTTCCTGCTGTGCATACATACCGAGGGTTCGATTTGAGCTTACACGAAGCCCAATGATCGCTCGTTCGACTGCTTCTGAAAAGAACTGTGTTTATAGTAGGAGGTACTTTTGTGGCCACTGCCGACACAAGTACCTTGGAGGAACGAGAAACCGTAGGTGAGATATTTGAGATCGCTGAATGGGTGGTTTCGATCAAAAACTCTTCGTGGATTGTCTTCGTAATAGTAGGTATCTGAAGGAGATTTTCAATTCTACACTTGGAACCGAACAGCCGATCCAGATGAGACGAATTCGAATAGATTTGATTTCGGCAAACTTACTGTCGACAAGGCTTGGTAGATGTCGGATTTTGTAGAACGTTATTGGATCGAATTCAGTAGCATTATCAGTCATATTCATGACGACAATCCCTGAGAAGTACTGCTGATAGTCAGCCAAGCATGTAGCCGTCTCTTCCATCACGGATTCGTTTGTCACCGTCACGAAACGATCCAACAGAAAGCACTGGAAGTGATGGAGTATGAAATCAGAATCAGTAGAAGATAAAAACAATCTGCCTGCTAATTACAAAATAAAAGGGGTTTTCTTCCTTTGCTGCCTTCTAATGTTCCGGTTTCGTTTTCAGAGGGGAAACCATTTCTCGACTACCTATTAGCTAGTTCTTTCTTTTTTTTGTCTTTTTCCCCGGCTTGACATCGGCGGAATTCCTCCTTGCCTTACTATCCGATGCGGTACACCTTTCAGCGTAATAAATAAAAAACATAAAATAAAAATGAAAATGTCAGCGTCAGTAGCTTTATCCTGTTACGGCTCAGAAACACCCTCATGAACCGCCTAGTAACTTTATCATGTTATCAAGATCGCTTATTCCTGCTCTCTTTCGCCCGCTTACAACTGCTACTGCTTTGCGTAACCTACCGTATCGCCGCTAGGTCTGTCACGAAAGTCTGTAGAAGACTCAAGACACTGGGAGGATTTTACTGAAATAGAAGCTGATCAACTGGAAGCGTACCCCTGGATCCCCCCCCCCCTTTTACTTTGCTTTTTCAAAATTCAACTTTCTCGCTCTCAAATAAACGACGTAGTTCATACCGTAGCGTACTGGTTGAATGTCTCCGTGACATTCTTCGTCAAAGCACCGAACGAATACGGATCAGTAGCGGGGGCGAAAATGTGCTCCAGCGCAAATTCCATGCTCTTCAGTAGTTCTGGCTCTACTGGTAACATCTTGCCAAACCGTTGAAGAAATACCAGAACGTTCTGAAAAACAACAGCGTTTTGCCCAAACTGCACTCTTGCTATGTTCTGATTACTTTGACAGCTCTCAGCTCCAGCCCAAGCCCTGCTAGACCACTATACCTTACCAACTTTGAGTACGGTATAGACAGTATAACGCATTATAAACGTAAACGTACCATACTAGCAGCTCGTAGATCACTTCCATAAAGTCCAGTTTGAAGATTGTCAGCAATTTCTGGATATTTATACAACTGCTGCCGAACAAAATCAGCCATTCGGAGTGGGTTGTTCAACTGAAATCCGCTCGATCGAATAAAAGAATAAAAAGCAGCTTTAAATCCGTTCAAACAGGTCTTTGTAAGAAAGAAATGCACTCGGTCCATAAAATGCAAAACTTCTGGAGGTATGGGGAATTGAACCCCAGCCCTCTCCCATGCTAAGGGAGCGCTCTACCACTGAGCTATACCCCCGCTGCGGCGGACATCAGGAGAATGGCTCATATGGTGGCCGAAATTCGTCATTAGAACTCCACGGACTAAGAAGTCCTGTGATGTTCAAACAAAACGCATTCGGTGGTTTACCATAACTCCGCACCCAAGCTACTCTACTGGTATAGGCAATGCATACAAAATACCTAAGGCCAAAATAAAAAAGAACGAATAACTACATGACTGTGGCAGAACTTCGCGTAGTTCTAGCTCAAACCTTTAAAAATCTGAATTTCTCTAATTTTTTACTGCTACTGTAGAAACTTGAGCACCATCTAAGCAGTGAGGACCTGTACTTTCAAGAACAGGAGGAGTGAGGAGCTAGAAAGCTATCACGCCTAACAATAACTTTGCTTTTACTATGCTAAAGATGCCTAACTGTAACTGCTGAGAACATTCGTGATAGGGATTTACAGTAACCTTCACTGGCAACCTTCCCAGCGAATATAAATCAGTAACTCTACAAATATTTTCTCAGGAGCAATAATTAAAATAATTTCTCAGGAAATAAGATTCTGGTCCTTATACTCTGGCCAGTTATGAACTGGGTACTTAAATGGAAAGCCTGAAAATTGGAAAAGTTGCTCACAATATCGATTAGCTCATTTACAGCTGGTGAAGGTGGGGTGACGAGTATGTAGCCGGAGAACAATGGTCGTAATCGTTGCAGCACAGCTGATTCGAGACTGGTGCAGTTCAAGTCTTAAGACGAAGGATAGTGTTCTCACTTGTAATAATACAGAACAATTGAAAAAAAATAATGGTTTTGGCATCACTCCAAGACACGCCCACGTATTCGACTCCCATTCAGAATCATAGTGATGTCTGAATGCCTATTTGGCCCATACAGGGACTTGAGAGGACACAACAATAAATAAGCGAGTGCACTCGTTTACCCAACAAGTCTGATTCTAATTGACCGATTCCGAAGAGATGGAATTCGGAGCGATTCCCACGTTCCTCTCTTTCCCTCAATTATTAATTATCTGCTAATTTCTTTGGTCAAATACGCCCGAGGGTGTGCCTAAAATCTGAAATTCTTGAGCGATGGTTTTTTGCCAACAACAAAGGGTCCTATTCCGTGAAGTTCTACTGAGGCTTTTACATTGACTGACTCTGTGCAGGTAGCGGGTTAGACGATTCCGTCAAACATCGGATCATAGAGGTAGTGGCGTTGCACCACCTCAGTGTCACTCAGGAAAATGGATGCAGGATAACAAATAAAACTGAAGGCAACTCAAGTGTAGTTGTTATGGGCACTGCTGAGCATTCCCAGACACAAAGTGTAGATCTGGGAGAAAATCAGAGCCGGGATGGGCTCTCGTTTAATTCGAGAACGTAACTTATCAGACCAATATTCAGCTACCTTACTAAGGTATTCATATAACGCTACAGCCGAGAGTCTTCAAATGCTACCAAGTGTCCCGCTTTAATGACAAGCAGGATCTCACCACCGGACCGAATCCTCAAGTCTCACCCCATTAAACGAAGTCGGATATGCATTTAAAAGCCACAATGGCTTTCAATGAAAGCGAAATGCATCCCGAAAAGGGCTTGGCTCATTATTTTTCGACTTTTCGCTGAAAACACCAACATCTACGATCCAATAGACTTACCATCACGAACCCATACATCATGACAGAACTGTTTTTCATGTTTCTGCTGACCAGGCACGATCTTTTCTATGAATCTGAAAAGATATCAAGATAAATTTGGAATTACAGCAATACTACTCAAAAAATGATGGACTGACTCGATGAGACTCAGACGTAATTCATCAAACGGCGTCTTGGCATTCGTTGGGACAGGCCCCATTCCATCTGTAGCGATATCTGAAAAGAAAATAAATGAAAGGGGGAAGGAAAAGATGGAGAAGAGAAAAGTCGAGTTTTTTAAAATCGCTTTAAAACACAAGTAAATAGACAAATATAGTGTAGTCATAATTTTGTTTAAAGCGCTCAGACAGACACACTGGCAATAGGGGCCGTGGATGATGCCTTTCCACTATTCACCGCTTATCACTTTTGTAAAAGGATTCAGTAAATACTTGTAGATGGATAGTAGACATGGAAATAAATAAGTAAATAAATAAACAAAGAAGTAGTCAAGTTCACACACCAAACGGATTATCGCCGCAGAAGATCGCGGATGTAATATTATTGAGAGAGCCTGAGAGAAGATGGTTCCATTTCGAGAAGCCCTCGAAAATCGGTTGCTCTTGGACCAATGGGAGCAACGTCGACACTGCCCGAGACAGTTCTTCCAAAGTCACATTTGCACCACGGAAACTCTGAAAGCATGCGTAAACTGTGCCAGTGTAGAAACCGTTCCGACGAAATGAAGTTCACACAGTAAGATACGGTACTGACATACACTTTGGACCTGTTCTCAGTGGATTGGAGCAAACCCTTGAGAATCACTTAAACTCCCTCAACCTTTACAGATGATTAAGACATACATGAATTTCGTAAGTTGCTGAGCGACCACAAGGTAATCATACGCCACTATTACCTTAGAAATGGTAGCCGAGGGCACAGAGCATCTCGGGCTAGATATATCCCATAATAGTGGGACCATATTTGATTTTTAGTTACAGAAGCGATTTGTGTTTTGAAAATGGAAAAACTAAGAGAAACCAGTACTATCTTGATCATCAGGAATCATGCGCCAAACTCGTGAATGGTCTTCACTTCATCTTCATACCTAGCAAGTAATGTGTACGGTAGACTATTCTGATATCTGCCATCCGTGGGTTCCACAAAAGTAAAAGTAGTAAGAAATGCGAAGGGATAGCAAGAGAATACAGAGGAATCATTGCGAAGGGATCCCCTCACCGTTTCCAAATATATCGTTTCCTTCAGACTCATTGATAGATATAGAGTAAAGTTTTGAGATCCATCTCCCTCGCTCCACCCCCCCCCCCCCTTGGTTGGAAAAAAAGAAAAATTCAAGGAATCAAAATTAAAATATTAAATTACCGGATAGGATTCCAACGTTATTCTGTCTTGATATTCCGAGTAGTACGTTAACAAAGCCAATGGAGACACCCCACACAACGAACGTCGATCTTCATCAGTCAGAGTTATGCTAAATAAGCTTTCGAATTAGGTTAATTTGGTTGGAAATGTGAAGCGCTAGTGGAGCAGTGATCAACAGTGGCGTTACTACCCTCGTGATCCAGGTTCGGATCTCCCTGCTTGAAATACCTTAGAAAGACTCATAAGGCTTAGCCCACTCACTTTGGGAGTAATACGAAGCTGCTATCGAAGATCGTTTCATTACACAATATGGGAACCGGGCGAAAAGCCATAAACGCTAGAAGAATCTTCGGCTTGGAGCGAAGCTCTTTTACCTTCAAATGCATCGATGACATTGAGTACACAAATACAAGCACACTTTTGAAAGTAGTCGAACTAACTCACGTAATCAAAAGCCCTCAGAAAAAATGTTGGCGTCAGCGTTGCAGTGGCCAACGCGTCTGAGGCTTCTTGAGTAAGGCCCAAATCGAGCAGCGTCTGACTGACGTTGACCGATGGTCGAAAGAACTGAACGAGATTTCAATAGTGTTGAGAGTAGTAATAATAACGAAAAACACTCGTAATAGAAACAATTAAATTAAATAATGAAAGTGGGAGTCTACACAAATCGACCTCAGCTCGAGATGCGCCATGCATTAAAGCTTTGGCTGGAATTGTGGCAAACTCAAGAACAAAACACTATCACATGGATTTATTTTGAAACTAAAAATTTTGAAATCAACCGACATGCAGCTATTCCATCGATTTTTACAAGATCAAAATTCACCTGATAGAGCTTGGGCAATTCGATCTGGGTGCCATTAATCCGTGCGAGTATCTTAACGAGTTGGGTGAAAGAATCGAGTAACTGCGAGAATTTGGACGGATTTTCACCAATCCATTCAAGCTGTTGAGACGAGTAGTAAAGGGCGTCGACTATTCTGGAATGAATATCTTTTTTTTTCGAACATAATTCCAATTATTTTCTACCCATTACACTGCTACTACGGTTGGTTGTACACCTTTGACACATATTGATCGGGAAAGGCGTTAGAGCCGCCCGCCGCACGTGACGCGCTTGCACCAGCAATTACGTACTGAACTCACACTGATTCGTTTTTGTCCCTCCCATCGTGGATATATCGTTGTTCATCGCCAGTCGTAGGCGACAGATGGCAATCATTGGAAAATGAACAGAGAAACGAATGTAAAAACGGGAGAATACCAGCGGATGGGAACCCTTTAGAATCATAATGACCTGAAATACAGTAAGTTTCCTAAGTATTACAAGATGAACCAACGGTGATCGATATCGATCAGACCCATTGATTTTTGGCATACGGCAAAGAGCCAAAGAGCGGGTGCGGTCATAGAATTTGCATTTCCATATACTTACATGTTGTCGGTCAAAATGGTCATTTGAATGAAGTAAGATCAAAGAAGCCGGGCATTTCTCACAAAAACCGCGACGATTTACCGCACGCATCGAAAGGGGTTATTTCTCATATCTCGAAGGGTTAATTATTGACTGAGTAGATTTAAAAGAAACTTACACTGCGGTTCAAAGTCAGTGAAATCCCTGGTTCGAACAAGAGCCAAAATTATAAACAGAATAAGCGGAACGAGAAGTTCAACGGTCAACCAAAACTGAAAGCAGATCATTTTAAAAGACAACTGACCCTAAGGACAAAAAAAAAAGAAATCGACCTTTTGCCTAGACTTCACCAGCACCCCCTTCCATAGAAGGAGGCGCATCTGCCTCCAAAATCCAATCATATTAAGCCGAGCATATTATTCATATGGACGGACGGACGAGTGACTTCCACAACCGACCAACGTGCAACGGTCGAACGTAAATGTCTGAAAACAGGTTCGATGATAAGTTATCCATGTAGGAACCCGAAATCACAAAAGTCCCGAAATTCGTAGAGAACACAATGGAGTGAGGTTATTCGAGCAGAAACCTTTGATCATATTCATATCAATAATCATAACCAATCACGTGCTATAATTCCAATCAATATATGTTTGTATTGAGAAAAGGATCGGTCGGATCGCCAAGTTTTGGCATTTATCGATCCCTTTCCATGGGATGCGCCCCGCGTTCGACTTCTATTCAGATTCGCAGTGACGTTTCGATTGCGTATGCGGCCTACAAATAATGGGCGAGGTACGGTTAAAAACTTCTATCCTACCAGACGAACCTTGTGCCAGTTACCAGATTTAAGATGGAGGATGTAAGCTTGGTTGACCTAAGATTCGATCCCCGGATCATACATGTATAGTACTGTGCCACTTTGCACTACACCGCCTTCGCCCACATGTTTGCATTTATATGTTTTGATTGCTTTTGCTTATTTGTAAGAAGTCTTACTTACACTTGGGATTAGAGTGGGACTTCCCAAAAGGTAAGGATTCCTGTATGGTTCTAGGGAAAATCAGTCTCTTCAAAGTCAGATTTCTCAACCGGAAATTTTTTTTGAAAAAAATTTTTTGTTGTATGACGCTATGGTGTGGCTATGGTAAGAGTTGGATGCGCAGAAATCTATTGCTGTGGATTTCCTTGAGCTCTTACCCCTTTCATTACCCCAAGAGATTCATCCGATAGGGAGTAAAACCCCCCTGATGATTATGAATTTTTCATCGTTTACCCTTTTCTGGTATGAATGAACAATGAGCCATGTATGTAGTTTCGAAGGAAACCAGCTCTACAATCATTCAAGAGGTACAAGAGGAAGTTATTTGCTACTTAAAAAATTGCTGGCAAAATTAGAGATAGCTACCGATCATGAACAAGTGATGATATGAGGATTCTTATGGCCTCAGAATCCAAACATAGTAAGGAATGGGCTTATTCCGAACTTTCAAGAAGTAAATTCCGAACTTCAACATTTTCGGTGATCGGTATTAGCCAAGGTCCCTGATCTCCTAACTTTTCAATCCAAAGCTACCGAATGTTAAAGAACCGTTAGCAAGTATGGATGAAGATAGTAAACAAAGAAAACGGATCGATTAAAGTCTTCAGAACAACGGAGCGGTCATGGAAGAACCGAAAGCTACACGGGACGGTGGTGTCGATAGGAAACAAAATTTGCAGTTGCAAAAAGAACCAGGCACTCCCAAAAACTTCGTGACTGAGATCTAGCATATCAGCAAAACTTAAGTAAAAAGCAAGGCAGTCTGTTCAAGAAAAGTCCCAAAGATAAATATAAAAGGCCGATGGAAATCGAGTTCTTAACAGCCACTTGAGTAAGACCTCGTGGCAGGTTGGTGATGTCAATCTAAAAGAACCATGAGAAGCGGATAAGTCCTTATTCCTCGTAACCATGTTGCCTGTCGGTTCAAAGACACTTTTCTTGGAGAAAATCTCGCCACCCTTCAGTGAATTTTTATGATCATTTTCACGAAAAAATGCATCTGAGCTAGGAAAACCACACCCATGGGCTGAAACGTAAACAAACAACATTAATAACAAAAAGCATCAAATCAGTCTTACAGGAGGACGCACATTTTTTGAGGACTCCTCAAACTCAACGAAAAGCCAAAATATTATGAAAATAGGAAGAGTAAACGAACTACTGGGACGCGAAGTCCCAAAGGTGGCTTGGAATCAGAATCAGTTGTTGACGAAATAGCATGAGGCACCGCCCTGTCTCGCCCCGCCTTTAGCCCTGTGCATTGCATCACCAAAATAGCCCTGCCTCGAAAACGCTTGAAAAAAAAGGGGTGATAAGGACCCGGGAGTTCTCGCCTCTCCCATCCTTTCAGTGATATAGTTCTAATGTTGACCTGAGACATGCGTCTAGTTCCTGAGCGCTATAACACAGTTTGACGCCTCAAGAACCGAACCTTATGTCACTCTTCTCTAATTACCTCCGAGAACTGATAAGAGGTAAGGAATTCCAGGAAATCCATGAGAAGCAAAAATGCTCCCACGAAGTAAAACCAACAAGTTACCAATGGATAACCCTCAGGGAGGAGAAAACAGTTCAGCAATGAATAATCAATTATGTGAGGAGACGGTGTGTGTGCCTGCAAAGTGCAAACAGTCCATTCCATCGGTGATGGCCACTTTTTCGGGCAACTTCGCCAAATCTATTTGCACGCCCATCGTTAAATTACATTCGCAGGGTTTCACTGACTTAGCCGTCCTTTCTAAATAAAAAAAGTTTCGCTGAAGAAAATCTCGTGAGAGTTGGGATTCAACGCGACCAAAAAACTGTCCTTCATCTTGAACTCAGCCCATAATCAACAAAGTGCAAAGGAAACTGAAGTGAATGGCTGCGAATGTACAAAAAGGGCTCCTAAAAAGTACCGAAATGAACGATGAGAAGAGATCGCAGGGAACCCAATTTGGACAACAGCGAACGAAATCTCGTACGAAGATATTTGTTTCGGCGGTGAGCCCGTCCACTTGGGGTCTTCTGTACTGAATGATCCTAATTTTGCAGCCACTTCATCAGGGGTGTAATTTGAAATTATTTATGTGACATATGTATTTTTATTTGTAAATATAATTAACATTTTTGTATATTGGTGGCTGATGCTCGCCCTCGACCCCTACGAGACCGTAAAACGGCGCATGAGGCGCTGGAGGATACGCAGTATACCCTGGTGCCATGAACCATGGCACCGTACGTGGCCCCAGCCCCGTTGTTCAAGAATAAGTAAATAAGGGGATAGTTATGCGACTTTTCAATTACTGGCTGTTCCTACTCCTTTTATCTTTTTTGCCCATCTTGTTTGAATCCACAAATCAACTAGATTATGACGTTCCAGAAAGGATCATCAACAGCCCTAATCAATCATATTTTAAAGGTAAATTATGGAATAAATTGGATAATACGGCATAACTTAGTAGAAATGGGACGTAGAAAGGGTATGAAGATGTCAGAAAAATATGACGAGTTAGTTTCAGCAAGATAATTCGACAGAAACACCGTAACTAGGCTTCTTAGCATCGACAATCACCCTTCCCGTTGCCAGTTCTGCACCCAAATGGATTTCTGGATGAAACAGCACATCACACAGTGAAACAATAGGAGTTTTTCCAAACTTGGCTAAGGGTACGAAAAATACAAACAAAAAAATTAAAAATATATATAAACAAATGACTCGGCTGAAATTCAGTAATAGAAACGCTACTCTTTGATCACAAAAGAGGCCCTTTTGCTATTTCCTTTTTTGCATGAGCATGACTTTATCTCTGGACAGCTCTTCTTTACCAATCCAATGATAGCCTCTATCTTTTAGGAGGCCTCTAGGTTTAAATGGAGTGGTAAAATAGTTAAAAAAAATTGAAGGTCGAGGTTCTTAAAAATACTTTTCCGAGATCTTATTTCTCCAATTTGTTCAATCGACTTCTTATCAGTCCCTGTCATTTTTTTGTTTTTTGCGTTTTTTTTTTCTCAACTTAATCTTGCCCTTCCAAGTCGGGTACACAAAACGCATTCAAAAGTGGAGTTTGCAAAGTAAATTTCTGTGACTTCCTTTTCGAGTACATTTCACCGCGATTACACCTCTTACGAATTATTTTTGAGGTGAAGCCGGAGGGAATATACTGTAAAGTTAATTTTTCTGCAAGGGGCTTGGGTGAAAGGCAAATTTAGTTACTTCCTTGTTTTGACAGTCTCTTTAACAGCTTTGCCTATCAATTAGGTTTGTTTTCCCAGAATTCAAACCCTACAAATATACCCAGTCTTAAAAAGGCTCCGTTTACCGTAATCTCTCTTAACGAAATTGTTTTTTATATTGAAATTCTTACCTCAATGTTACCATAGCAATGTTCACATACATATTTGTATGCAATCACTACGAGTGATGCAATACATACGAAAAACAAATGAGACTAACCAAGCAAAACTATAATTACTGAATCATAAGCATAAAAATTTTAAACAGTTACCATAGCAGCATTACTGTAACCATAACACAGTTATCAGCAAAAGGAATGATGGCCGGAGAGCCTATGAACTAGAGCAATTTGAAAAATGTTGAGGGAGACGTCTGCAGAACTCGCGGGAGATCTAGGCAAATGACGCTCGAACAGAGTAAAAACTACCGAATGACCCAAATAATAATTGTAATGTCAAGAGAAGAATGAGGCCAAGTGTTCTAAAAAGATCAATCAACATTCGAACAAATGGGTAATGTATAGATAAAGTTCGACTGGAGAGGGTACTGTAAGAGATCGTACCGGAAGAACCACATTGTTTCAAATGAAGAGATTTGTATGGAAAAATAAACAAATAAAAAATTAAGACATAAAATTTTAAAAAATCTTCTTCCTGCTACCGAAGAAGCGTCGTTTCCACGAAAAAAAAAAAACGATATCGTTCAAAGGCGGATTTCACGGTACATCATTCATTCAACCTCGGAAGGATTTGGCTGTTTTGAATTTTCTTCAATCAGAATCAATGAAGGCTTAAACATGATTAGTCTAATTCTCCACTCCTACCATTTCGGATCAAACTTACAGTTTTATCTCGAATGTATAAACGGAGCTTCTTATTTTTTCGGTCGTCTGCACCCAAGAGATTCAAAGTTATCTACGGATCAGAAGAAGTGATTGATTGATAGCTATAATATTGTACTCACTATTTACTACTAACATACTTTATGCTGTTGTTGAATGTTCTATACATCAATATGGCCGGTTGGGACGCTTCAAACTAATTGGACTCTTTGCATGTTTGAGTCGATTACCACGGGCATGGTATCTTCTCCCCGAACGGCGTGTCGTGCTCGCCGCACGC